GTTAAATTTTTTTGAAAATAAATTTTTCCGAAAAATTTTCGAAAAAATTTTTTAACCAAAAATTTTGAAAATTTTCGCCAATTTTTACTAAAATTTACCAAAAAATGACCAAATCTGGACCAAAATATTCAAAAAAGGCGAAATATTGATATAAAATATGGAAATAAAGGCTAAATATGGAAAAATATGGAAAATATGGATTATAAAGACCATTCTAGAAACCTTAAAACAAGCCAAAAACATGTTTTTCGTACTTTCATAGTCATAGGAATTCAGGAAAAAAATATGGATTTCCATATAAATGGGAGCCCTACTTATAATATTTATTAAATAAATATTCTCCAATTAATTAAATATTTATTCACCTTTCATTTTACGTAAATATTTGCTTTATTAAATGGCAATTATTTAATAAGCATGTCCTTTTAAATGCAGGTGATAATTTTAATTTAATCTAACAACTTTTTAATAAAATTTATTGCAAATTATTAAAGTCAAAGGGAGAAAGTAAGTTGGGGGACGAAATTCAAAATTACCAAATCTTTTTGTTTATAAGAATGTTTATCTTAATTTTTGGCTTTCATTTTATCTTAAAAATCAGTTTTAAAATTTTAGTTTTGCTGATAAACATTTTTAATTTTTTTTAATATTCTCCAATGTAAATTTCATAAAAATATTTTTATTTTTCGACTTTTTTAAATTTATTTTCCTTTTCAAACTTAAGTTTTATACTTATTTTGATTTTCCTTCATTTTCCTCAAGAAAACTACAATTTTCTGATTTCAAATAATAAATCTCGTTTTTTTGCATTTTCCCTATTTTCCTTTATTTCCGGCAACTCAGAGGATTATAAATTATTCTTCCCCAATTTTCTCTACTATTTAAAAATTAACCTTAACTATAAAAGGCATTATTCCATTTATAAAGAAAAAATCAGACTCATGTAATTAGGCAATGAGTAAAAAGAAACAAAAATTGACCTTATAAAGAAAAAATTCTTTTTCCAATATTCATTTGCCATTTAATTTTTGTTTTAGATTTCCGATAATTAAATTTTAAATAATTTTTACTTCGTTTTCTCATTTATCAGTCTATTTTTTATTTATTCAACGGAATTTCATAGGAGGGTGTCATTATTTACAGTCGTTTTAAGGGTAACTCTTGACACCTCAATCAGGGTGGCCCTTTGCCTTATTTACAGGGAATTTGCCATATTTTTGACATATTCGCCCTATTTTTTCCTATCTTTTCATTTGCCATATTTTTGTCATATTTTTATTATTTTTTAAAATTTTTACAATTTTTTTATTTCGTATATGAAATGGCTGGAAGTGGAAGAAATCTGACCGTTAACCTTCCAAAATTCTCAAAATTTTCGTCTGCGGGTCTAATTTCGAATTAAAAAGTTTAGAGTTGAAATGTACCCAGGCATATGTCCTTTATTTCTGATACTGATTTGCTCAATTTAGAAAAGCTATTGTAAAATATGCTTATTGTTAGTAAAACTTTTTATTTGAAATTTTTAATTATGTTTAAGCTTTTAAAAGTATGCCCTAATTTTTGCATTTTTTTGAGAGGCTGCGCCCTATTTTAATATTTTGAAAGGACCACCCGTACCTCAATCCACATTGTAGTCATTAGCAATATATTTTGAGCTCATATTTTTGTTGGACAATTATTTTAATTTTTTTTCAAATTCTTTTCCTTTTCTGTATGTTAATGCCCGTTTATCTATTTTTAAATATTTTTGAACACATTTTAAATAATACTATAACTTTTTGGCATTTTTTTCAGTTAATTCTAAGTGCTTTATTAAATATCAAACAATGTCTCTTCTACCACCTTAGGTTCAACTTGATATTTTTAAATTCCCCAGTTATGAAGAATTATTTTCAATTAAATAAACAAATTTATATTTCCATTATTTTATTAATAAATAAGAATTTGAGAGGAATTTTGTGAAATTTCTTATAACATTTTTTAATTAATCAAAAAAATTTTCTCTTAAAAATGATACTGATCAATTCAAAGAGTGCCCTCATAAATTAATTAAAACAAAAGCTAAAAATTTTGACTTTACATTGAATGAACAATTTGAAAAGAAGGTAAAATAAAACACTGCCACAAGCTATAATTAGTTAAAGATTTTTTAATGGAGTAATGGACAAGACAACGTCATTTTCTTACCTAAAAGTTAATCTTTTCAGTTTTTAAAAAAAGGCTCATAGAAATTATTTATTGGTACATTTTTTATTTGATCCGGTCTCCAGTTGGTGTGCCATCTGCCTTAAGTCCCAACTTTAGAAAATTTTCATTCATTACAGGGGCGTTGTCACCAAAACTATTCACGATACCTCTGTCACCACATAAGCTTCCTTAATATTTTTCGATTCGGTTCCGGTTAATGATATCCAAAGGCACACAGGTATCCAAATATCCAAAGGCTACTCATGATATCCAAAGGCTACTCAATATTTATTTTTAAAAATTTTTTTCAGATAAAGACGAAGAACTTAACATTAGTTTATAACAAAAACAAAGATGACATGAAAATTATTATTTAAATAAATTATTTAAATGTTCTTTTGAATATGGAACTTTTAATCAATTTATTAATTGAATTATTTTTTACTAATGCCAATGTTCACGGGTAATTTAATGCAAAAAATCATACTTAATGCGTACCAAAGCTTATGTAGACTGAAAAATTTCTTAGTAATTTAAGATCCATAGATATTTTACTGTTTAATTTCTGGTTTTCCATGAAACGGTTGAAGGAGAAAACATAGGCCAATCTGCTCGTACTATAAGAACGTGGTTTTTGTCATTTGACCGATTACCAGACGTGCTTTTGCTGCTAAAAGGAAAACTTCTGGGTTTTAATCAAAGCCCAGCTCATTATGGTCATTTGACCTGTGGTTAACCAGTACTATATGAAAAACACTTTTTGGTCATTTAACCCCTACGAGTGATAAATCTCAGACCCTGTTTTCATTGTCTCATCAGTCTCGAAATGATTTGGAAACCGACATCCTATTTCAATAATTCTTAGTAGAAGTTGACAAGGACTAAAAACAGGATCACATTTCAATAATTCTTAAAATATTAAAAAAAATTTTCATCTTCCCCCGCCCATATTTAAAAACTAATAATTTGTGTTTCTTTATTTTCATTATTCGAAAATAGGTGTGGTAAGTTGATGTAAATATTTTTTGAAATAGCGAAATTACCATAAAGAGAACCCATAAAAATTAATGCAGTTTTATTTATTCAGTCAGATGACATCTTTTTTTCAGCTCAAATAAAATAAACTCCGCCTTTTTCCTAACTTTATTTTCCATTTTAATCGGTGCTGTAAGAACAGAAAACATTTAAGTGTTCGCTTTTTTTACTTTAGCTGGCAGATTCTTTTTTCTTAAAAATTCTTTTTAACCTGTTACTTGTGGCCATTTAAGTGAGACTATTTTTCTCAATTTCTTTCGCTATCTTTATGCTTGCCATTTTTATAAGGAAAGACATATTTGATGTGGCAACTTTTCGAATCTTTATCGCGAAAAAACTTCGATTCTTTTTTCTCTAAAAATTCGTTGTAACCTCATTTAGCTTTATTCGCCTCATTACATTTCGCCTCATTTTGCCACTTTACAATTTTATATATTATTATTTAGTCTTGAAATCTTGAATAATTTAGTCTGGAAAATAAAATTTATTTCCGATTTCTGGCTCTTCCGATTTCCTTCACATCTGACTGTTCCGACCAACCTTTGATAGGAACTTGCTTCGTGGTTAGCTAGAAGAAAAATAGCCAAGCCTACTATAGTACTAAATTACCGCTCTGTAAGTGTTAAATGACGGTGACAGATAACCAGATTCTTATACCAAATTTACTTCTCGTTCTTATAGTACGGGCATTAGAGTACGGCTTTCGGGTATGGGAATTTTTATTTTAAGACTTATTTAATGGTATTTTTACTTTAATGTGTGGATCGCGTTTAGTCGAAATGTGTTTGTCTCTACACATCCGGAAATACTTATATTTTAATAGAGTGAACCACCTTTACGGCATTCCTTCCTGAAAGTAAATATGTATGTGGGTTTTAGATAGTTTTCCGGAACAAAGCTGGTTAAAGTATATCATCGTGTTTAAATAATGCCTTTTTCAAAACTTTTTTGGCGTTTTGTTTTTGTTGATATTTTGTCCAAAATGTTATTATAAAAGCACAAAATATTTATTCATATAGGATTTTAACCTCTCAGAAGCGAAAATATTTCTTGGATGTGTTGAAAAAAATTTATAGATTTTTAAGTTTTTTTATTTTTAGAGGCTATCAATTTAAAATTTTAAAATGGAAGACGCCGTAAATGAAGTTGAATCAGATGCAAGTGATTATGAGGACTCTGATTGTTTATCTGAATATAGTGATACTGGTTAAAACTTTTTATTTTCAATTTGGGTTTCCAATTATTAAGTCTTTCAAGTCCCCTTTAAGAACTCTTATAAACTCGGAAATGAGTAGCTGTGGCTCGTATCTTTTCGTATTTAACTTTGAAAACTATAAATGTATAATTTTGAACTAAGAGGGAATCGAATCCTCTTTCAGATTTAAAAACAGTCAAAACTAATCAACTTTTCTTTATCAACTTTATTTTTAGAAAGTGCTAAATTTCAAAAAACGAGGAGGCTTCAACATCTTCCTTATCAATTAGATTTGGAGGTTGAGGCAAACAATTACTTTATACAAGTTAAATCAAGCCTGGGGCACTCAGTTAAGATGCGTGATTTACCTGGCTTACTTTATTGGATTCGCGAATTAGAAAGGTTTTGAATAAATTTAATTTTGGTTCCTTCGCCCCTTTTCAACCCCCTTTTAGTTTTTTATACTTTTTAATTCAAATAGACTTGGAATAGAACCTATTAAGAATATTTTCGAATAATTCATTTTTTCAACAGGTTCATTAGCCTGTATTCCTTTCGATTTTCCAAAGTGGATCATGTCCACATGATTGAACTTTTTTATAATGTTTTAACAATAGAGAATTTGGAGTTAAAAGCAGTAAAAATTCTTTGCCAGTCAATGTCAAGGCTTTTGTCGTAAATATATTTTTTTAAATATTTTTAATTGGGGGGTTTGGATTAGTTAGGAACGGGCCCGGGACCAGTTTCCCGGTTTCCGGGTCCTTTTTCCGGTTTTTTAAGCAACCGGGAACGGGTCTTCCCGGTTCCCCGGACCCGATTCATGCTTTTTCAGAACCCGTTTTCCGGACCCGGTCCCGGTTTTTTCAAAATCCTAACTAGAGTTTGGATTTCGCTTGAGGTCCTCTCAGAATTCATTATAAGTTAACGTGTTTTTTTATAAGAGTAAAAAACACTTAAATACTGACACTTAGGAATATTATTAGTTTGAATAAACCAACCATTCGAGTCTAAATGCGAGTTATTTTTTTTTGGGCAAATCTTACGGGCTTATCTTTTGGTCCCAAAAGAGCTAATATACTATCATGATTTTTGAGCTCTTTAAACATTCAAAAACGATACAATTTTAGTAAAGAAACATTGGTCTTACGATGTGATCTTCAATTTGATTGGCGTCCACTATATGATACATATGTCAGGGTGTTTTTCAAAAATTTTGATGAGGTTTTTTGAGTTTATTTTTACTTTGAATTATTTTTTGCTATTTAGGATGCAGTCTCTGACAACTTAAAAAAAATTCTCGAGACAACAATTGTTGAGTGCACAAGATTTTTTGCTGATTCAGCTACTAAGGAAATTCTTGCTGAGGTTGTTGCTTTTTAAATTTATTTTCTCGGGGTATTTTTGAGGATTCTTTGTCCCAATAAACTTTTCGACAATCATTGTTTTTTAAAATTTTTTTTGAGTAATATCAATTTTGAGAGAAATTTTTAAATATTTATGAACGCGGGAGTGTTAGAAAAAATACCTTTTTTACTCTGCTTATTTAAATATAATTTGCTCCCGAGTTGGAAAATGCGAAATCTCAGCATTCAAAGGAATTAAAAATTAATTTAATAAATCTTTTTCAAGGTCCGACCTTATTTTTGTTTATGGGATGAGCACTTTTTGAAGAGGATGAAACTTGTGTGTATCTTCCTCCCAGTTTGTTTAACAAAAGAAGAAAATGATAGATTTGGAGCAAAACTATGGATTGATGAAATGTTATACTTTTTAAACAAAACAGAAACCTCGGAACAATTAAATATTTTGCTTCTATTTGCGAGGTTTTCCTTAATCTTTGGGATTAATTATCTAATAGAGATCGAGATTTTTGAAAAGCCTGGACCTGTTCCTGTACTCTGGAGTTTAATTTCTTGAACTGGACTGGATCCTGGGCCTGTAATTTAGGAAAAACCTATAAAGGTCAAAAAATACCTGGACTCTGGATACAGGAAAACCCAGGTCTTGATCCAGGTCCAGCTTGATCTCTATTATCTAAAGTTGAAAATGTGGATTTTAATTATTTTTTATAGACTGGCCAAAGACTGTCCTGGCTATTTGGACTTCTCACCTTACTTTCACCAATTGTTCACGATTTTAATGTCTTTTTTTCAAATTGAAATTGGCGTTGATAAATTAGTTGCGAATACAAATTGTTCAAATGAGTTCTCAGCATTTACAGACATATTTACTTATTCATTTGGGATGAATGGAGACAAGTATTTTTTTGTATAATTTTGGGTTAATAGGTGTTTTTTGTTAAATTGTAAGAGAAATTTGTATAGTTGGGATTAATTGTCATTTGTTTAACATAAGTTAACAAAATAATTCTCACATTTTTCAGAATTCAAGGATACATTTCTCAGCTGTTCCTGTCACTTGAATGCTATTTTCATCCTTCAAATAATGGACAGCACACAAAAAATTTATTACATTTTCTTCATAAATTGGTGTTGTCCTTTTTGAACCGGGTTTCTCGTGAGCGCTTTCAGGAGAAAAAATTCGTGAATCAAGTATGAAGTTAAAAAATCATTTCTGTTTAATTTTACAATTTTTTTTAGATTCCTGAAAATATAAAAATAAAAGATGATCAAATCAAGACTTTTGTCAAATCAATTTTGCCTTGTATTGAATATGCTGCTTTTCTTAAACAAAATGATAATTCTGTGCCAGCAATTATTCGGCTTTTGGCATTTCTTTCACCAGAAATTATTGTTCCTTTTGTTTTTGATTTGTAAGTTTTTAAAATTTTTTAATTTTTAAAGTTCAATTTCTCATTTTATTTTTTAGAGTCTATTCATCTCTTCAAGCTATAAATGAACCTCACCGACTAATTCAAGCCTTGGAAATTCTTTCACCTATCTGCGTAGTAATTTCACGGCACGAATTAAAATATGAAAAGAAATCGATTTTGACCAGAATTTTTAATAAAATAATGAATATATTTACAAACCAAGAGGAAGAAATTGAAGTGAGAGGTTCTCGATGGATTGCTATTGATTTAATGGGTGATCTACTTGAACAATTGGATGTTTACAATACTGAGAAGACTCAACTTATTTTTCGGGTTTATTTTAAGATTAATAAGTCCATAACTTCATTTTTTATTTAGGTATTGGCAAATTTTATGATGTTAATACCAATAGTGGATTGTTCTCAAGCTCCATTAGTTTGCAGAGATTTATCACCAGAAGAGGAACAATTATGCGCAAAAACTGCTTCTTTTGGACTATTTATTGAAGAATTGATGAGAAAAATTTTTTCAATGATTGAGTTACTTGGAAATAGTGTCAGTGACAGACACGACTTGGCATCAACAAAAAATGTTGGAAAGAATATGGAAGAGATGGTTATTGAAAATGGAGTGCTGATAACTTTTCGTTCGTTAGTGAGAAATTGCAGTTCTACTTTTTATAATGTAAATTTTATTTGATTCTATAATAAGGGAATCCTTAACTGGTAGAATCATGAAAATTTAATTTTAATTTTAGTCTCTTGGGTTTCGAATACAATAAACATTTTTCGAAATCAATTTGTATATTTTTCAGCGGATTGCTGAACAATTTTTCAACTTTGTTGATGAGCACTTTTTCAATTCAAAACCAGCTATGGATACAATAACAAAAATGGCTGGAATGCTTGTTGGAGTATGCTTTTAAAGAATAAAATTAGAAAATTCATTTTTCAGAACGATCCACAAGTTCAGTTCCCTCGCTTTTTCAACTTCGCTGTTCGAAAGTTTGATGAACATTATCACGGTTTTTATTTATTTTTAATTATTTTTTAAAAATATTCCATTATTTAGCCGATTCTGTTGGAGAAGAGGAAGTTGATCGAGCTTTGATTTGGTATTTAAATTTTGCTGCTGAACTTGTCCGCAGTTCTTCCGGAAATATAATTGAGGAAAATCGAAATTTAATTGATCCGTTTATTGAGAGAATATTGAGGTTTACATCTCCAAATATTTATAAGGTTTTTTAATTTAAAAATTAAATTTTGAAAATGTTTTTGTAGTTGGTAGCTATTTTTGCTCATAATGTTGTTACTTCACTTTGTTCAACCTATCCAATTCCAAATTGTTTGAGGACACGTTACGACCAGCCTTTTGATAAATTTCTTCCGTTAAGGGTATATTTTTTTGATTTTTGTTCGCCAATATAAAAATTTTTTATCTTTAGCATTGTGCTGAACCAATAGATAAAGATCACTGGAAAATAAATTGGCATATTCCAACAATTGAAGAAGTTGATTATGCTTCTGAATTAGTTACTAAATTTATTACAACACCATTAGAGCAACTTTTGGACAACTTTAAAGACAGAACAGAGTATACTTTTAAATTTTATTTAAAAAATGCTTTTATTGCGTTGAGGAATGGGTTGAAGAAATTTAAAATCTTTTTTATATTTTCGATGTTTATTTAAAATTTTTGATGCCTCGTCAATATTAAAAACCCTTCTACTAAATTTATTTTTTCTCTTTCAGCAAAGAAATTTTGAAAATTTTAACAATTGCACATCATGCTTTAATGGCTTGTTCTCATTTGTTGCCTTACTTGAATGACATGCCTTTAAGTATTATTCCTACTGCTGTTCCGAATGTTGAATTGGACGTTGTTACTATTCGTCGATATGTTAAAAGTTTGCGATTTTAATATTTTGTAGGATACTAGAATTAATTCATAACGGGTAGTGTTCATTTACTGGGTATATCTTTGTGTGTCGTCGATTTTTTAGTGTTAATATTATTATCCTAACCCCTTTTTCAGGGAGTTAGTCGGCGTTGGGCCCCAAGAGTGGTAACCCACCCTTGGGGCGCGCCGATCCACCAAGTAAAAGGAAAGCTTTCTCTTTAACTTTTATTCAACAAATATACTAATTAAATATCAGGGAGAAAGAACCGGCCAACTTTTGGTCGGTGTTGAGATTGGGCGAATGAACTTGTTTGGCCAGTTCTTTCTCGCCTTTTATGGGGCATTAAAAATGGGCGTTAATAATTTTCCTTAACTATGACATTCTATACGCGGGGGTGGGGGATACAACAGGAGAAGCGGATATGGCAAGAAAATGTGTGAAAAATATTATCTTTATTTTTTTTTAATTATTCATTTATCTTTCTTTTTCAATTCCTCGCAAATGTTAATCTCAATTTCTTCACTTCTATTCTTTTTACCAATCAAACATAATCACGCCAACACATCGCTTTTCTTCAACAAATTCCCCTAACTTGGATGGATAATGTCGGTAGCAAATTTTTAAAGTGGATCAGTAATAGAAAAGGGAGGTAAGAAGATTTCAGTGTAAATCAAAAAAAAAAATATATAGCAACAGGGCGTTCATCCAAGAAAATGTCACAGGGCTGTGTTAAAATAAAGGCCAAAATCCGCTTTTTCTTCCTCTCCTGGGGGGTGGGGGTAGCATCGAAATAAGCCTAGCGCAAAAATTGAGTTTTAGAACCATCACCAGGAATTTTTTTTAATTCCTCAATAGTCATCAAATCTTGATTGATCTGTGGGCCAGTATTGATCACCTTGATCATCGAAACAACAATCATTGCCAAATTGATCTTGATACTCTTCCTCTCCCCAATACTCATTACTTTCATTTGGCAACCATTGGTATCCCTCGTCATCATAATTTTGGTCATGGTCATAATATTGGTCATTATAATATTCATCTCCATTATTATAATATGGGCCAAAATTCGGGTCGGTCTGTTCCTCGCCCCAGTCATTATCCGGATCTGCATTTATCTCACCTACTTCATTAACTTCCGCTAGCGCCGCATTGACCTCTATTTCCTCTATTCTTTTCCTAGTTTCATCTTTAATTGTTTCATTCAACTCTTCCACTCTGCTCGCTTGCGACACAGCTTCGGCCAACGAAGAGGGTGCTTTCATAAAGATTATTTTCTCCCTAATTTCCGGCAACAGTCCATATTTAAATTTTTCCAGGCAGATTTCCTCTCTGAATTTTTTGGCCATTTTTTCAATTTCGGTTTTCAAATTTTTCTTTTGATCATCATCTAATTTGAGTGCTGAAATATTCAATTCAAAGGACGCATCTGGATAAGCTCGTTCCACCAGATTTTTCAAATCATTGGAAAATTCTTCCAGTGATTCTCCAAATTCTTGTCTCCTTTCAGCCAGCTTCACGAGAGCCATCTCTTTCGTTGACGTCTTTTTCAATCTGCTGGCTAAAACCTCAACAAGTACCTTCCAGGAATTTTTCTCTTTATCTGGCAGTCCTTCATATATCGCCAAAGCTGAGCCAGTTAAATAAAGCGGAAGAATTTGAGCACATCTGGGTGGAGTCCATCCGTGAGCCGTAGCTACACGATTAAACGTCTTCAGATAACAAACAAAATCTTCTGAGCCATCATAGGATTTAGGATAAGGAAGTCCCAAAACACTTCCTCCGCTGTTATCTTCGATATTTTTCCCTTTCATTCCAAGTTCTGGCTTTTTCTCATCCTTCATTGCGAGAACTCTAATCTCAAACCAGCCCTCAGATTTCTTTTAATTTTATTTATTTCCCAAATTTACCTAACACTTAAATTTTTATTCTTTCTTTATTCTTCTCTTTTTATTTATATAGCGCTTTTTTGCCCTTTTTATGGGATTTAGTAGATAACCGGCCGAGTTAATCCACTAAACTGCTAGGCAGGGATTCGGGATTCTTTTTAATCAACCAAAATTTTTTCCTTTTAATTATTTTACGTGCACGTTTTAAATTCAATTCCGAGGCACTGTTTAAAATTTAGAGGCTCGTCAAAAGAATTTGAGATCCACAACTTTGAATTATAGGTCGACGATTAAGCGGCTTCCTTCCACAAAATCCAAAATCTTTCCTTCTATTCAAAGTTCTTCGAAAATTCTTATCTTTTTCCAACCTCAGCTTCGGCAACAACCGCAAATTTCAGAATGCCTTAATCCAATAATCGCCAGATGAAATTAGAAATCAGCCAAATCAAATCGAAATCAACTGGTTTCCCTTCAAAAATCAAATCGAGATCAGCCAAAAAACAGCCAAAAATCTGCCAAATCAAATAAAATCAGCCAACTATCCGCCAAAAAAGCAAATCTGGATCGGCCTCCGCCAAAAAAGAAAAATCTGGATCAGCCAAATCAAATCAATCAGCCCGAATTAGATCAGCCAAGTCACAACTCAGCAAACCAGATCAGCCAAAAAAGATCAGCCGAATCAAAGTTTTAAATGCCAGTAATTAAAACTTTGATTGACTATTGTTTGCAAAGCTTCCTCAATTTGATATCCCTCAGTTTATTTTTCTTTCAATATTCCGGCTCTTCTAGTGTAGACTGCTGTAGACTGCTCCTTGTTTGAGGCTCTTCTTTAGTTGGCTCTTCTTTGAAATGATCCAAATTGGTGACCGCTGTGTTCATATTTATGGGAATTTTTCTTTCACTTGAGCGCATGATCACGCCCAAATAAAAGATTGACTCGCCAAAAAAAACCCAATTCGCCGAACTTGAAGTTGTAATAATTTTGGCCAAAAATTAGGCGTTTCTCCTTTTTTCCTTCATATTTGCCTATTTCCGGCCACAAGATCACGAGAAGTTGAAGAAGAAAAAATTAGTTTAATAACCAAAAAAGAATTTTTTAGTTTAATAAACAAAAAATTTTTTCTTCGCCGAATTAATTTGATTGATGACAAGAAGGAATAATTTTTTAAATAAAATATTTTGGAGTATTTTTAGAAAATAATTTTTTAAATAAAGGTGGGGAAATAAGAATATTTTTTAGGTGGAGATAAAAAAAATTTTGGGAGCACCATATTATTATCCTAACCCCTTTTTCAGGGAGTTAGTCGGCGTTGGGCCCCAAGAGTGGTAACCCACCCTTGGGGCGCGCCGATCCACCAAGTAAAAGGAAAGCTTTCTCTTTAACTTTTATTCAACAAATATACTAATTAAATATCAGGGAGAAAGAACCGGCCAACTTTTGGTCGGTGTTGAGATTGGGCGAATGAACTTGTTTGGCCAGTTCTTTCTCGCCTTTTATGGGGCATTAAAAATGGGCGTTAATAATTTTCCTTAACTATGACAGTTAATAATTGTTTATTGTCTTGTATTTAAAGCTCATTAATCGGTTAATATACCTACCTAAATTTTTTTAAGAAATCATCGGACCTAGTGGCAGTAATTATAGACTATTTTTATTCAACAATGTTAAACAAATTGGGGAAAAGTTGTTAAATCAAAGAGAAAACGATACAAAATCTTCTACAGAGGTTTTTAAAAAAATTTGTGAATTTTTTTTAATTTATAAATTTTAAAGATTATTTATCTTATTCGAACTTTAACACATGAACGTGGTGCTAATTCGGTTTGAATTTTATTTTTGTATTCAAATAGTTACCTTACAAATCCTGTATTAAAAATTTTTTTCTTTTTCTGATCCTTATCAAATTCTTTTTCTCGAACATATTTTTTGGCTTTAAGATATTTTTTCTGCTCATTATTTAAAAATGTTTAAGTTATTTAATTTCTATATTTTAGACAAACTACAGAAATCAATTGAAAGCATTTAAAATGATAAAAGAATTAACAAGTGACCCGATGAGGGGCTCACGCACTATTGAACAAATAATGGAAAGAAAAATGTTTTTACTTCACATGGTTTGGAATTTTTATTAAAAATTAATTTTACTTGGATAGATGTATAGGCTGTCCTGATTTTTAAAAGTTTTCCTGTCAAGTTTAATTTAATTTTTTGCGTCCCAACTGCCTATTTATATAGTTTTTTCATGTATTTTAAAACTATTTTTCAGAAAAGATTAGTACATAAACCTCTAGTAGGTTTCACTATTGCACATTTGGAAGGTCTTCAATTAGCTTTTCGTTTTGCAACATCAAGATATTCTTCTGTAAGACAAACGGCTCAAAAATTGCTGGATGATTCATTTAATTCTTGGCCTTATTCCTACAAATTTTTTGTCGATAATTTGGTCAAATTACTTGAGGATAAAACAAAAACGACGGCACAGTTTAAAGTAAGGAAATTTCTTATTAAAGTATTGATTTTTATTCACAACCACTGTTTTTTACTTTAATTTTTTGCTTTAACTCATTTTTTGAAAATTTATTTACTATTTTAGGGTGTTTTACACATACTTTCAAAGGCAAAAGAAACTTCAATGATTACAACAGAAGTAAGAAATTCATAAATTTATTAAATTCAAATAATTTTATTGTTTGAATCCTGAACTGGCAATCACTAAGGGATTACTATTTCTAGTGATATTTTGAATATAACCAAAATTTATCGAGCAAACACACTCTCCGGCACATGCCTTCATTTATACGTCAGCTTAAATGGGGGAGGGTGGGGGGGGTGTACAGTTAATGAAAAGTAGGGTATTTATGCTTTATTGGCCAGCCAAAATTCATAGTTAAGCCTTTGCCGGGTGACTTTCCTTTTTACAATAGTTTTCAATCCATTTTTAAATAAATTATTTTTATCTAGGATGAAGAAACAACGTTAAGTATTTGGCCAGTTTTGTCTTTAGCTGAATCGCCAGATCCAAATAAACAATCAATTGTAGCTCTTTTCGATTTTGTCCAAGATTTGATTATCAATAATCATACTTCTTTCCAAATTGAGTTTAAGGTTTATTTGTTTTTTTAATTTTTGGGATTTATTGAGACTAATGATAAATTTAAGAATCCGCATTTTTGGGAACTTGGCTAAAAATTTTAGATTTATTTTAAAAAATAATATATTAAGTAATATATTAATATTTTTAAGTTTCCTAACACTGTTTTTCAATTTGCTGATGCTTTACTCGAAGATTACGAAGGAAGTGTACATATAGCTTTACCGTTGGTTTCTAGAGAAGAAATTGATGGATCGTTAGAAAGGGAAACAAAAATAAATGCAGAACATACAAGGTTTTTTTAATTTAGGTTATTTTATAAGGGGTTTGAATATTCTGATTTTTGAGGGAAAGGTTTCGGTTTTTTATTAAATTCCAGAAAATTTAAATTAAATTTTGAGATTTTGTGTAAATGCTTAAATTCGGAAGAGTTAATTTGATCACTTTATACTCTGATTTCTTTGAAAAATTTTCAATAATTCCTTCTGATTTTAAATAAAAATTCTCATTCTTAATTTTTAGTACTTATCTTTCAATTGCGAAAAATCTGTTCAACATATGTTGCGACAAAAATTTACATTTCCGACAACTTTTTTTTGCTCATAGTCTTTTGAGACTTTTATTACGTCAAGATATTATGTTACCAAATAAAATTGTGCTTCATTTCTTTGAATTATTAATATCTGATTTAACAAGAACTAGAAAATTAGCAATTAGTTTTTGTGTTCATTGGTTTAAAATCAACAAGCACAAGTCAAATAAAATCGTTAAAAATATTGAATTGGATGAAGAGGGAAATAATGGAGTTGACGCTAAATGGCCGATTAAATTCGGAATTAGAAGGGACAATAGGTAAAGAAATGAATTGATAAATTTTTTTTTAATTATTATTTTTTTAGTTTTCTTCTTTATAATGCTGATGAATTACCTAGTGTTCAAAATGAATGGGATGAGTGTGAATTTCACCACGTGAGGATTTTTTAATTTTCTTAAAATACGCATATAATTTGGGGTATTTAATAAATTTTGATGTATTTTCTGAAGTTTTCCGTAAAATACGTATAATAAGTTGTTCAACTATGATTTTTCCGAATGTTTTATTTCTTTTCGTAATTTTTAAATTCTGTCTTGCGGAAAATACATCTAATAATTTTTTTAAAATCTGATTTTCTTCCAGATCGGTACAAATTTTATTTTCGAAAAAATGTTTTAATTAAATCCTAGTTTTCTGTAAACAATTTTATTTATATTAAAAAATTAATTTTATAGAAACCGCATTGGGGATATTATACATGGCCAAATGAATTTAAAGTGTATGCGTCACCCTCACAACAAGACTGGGCAAACCGCGAATATGCTCAATTTTCTGGAATTGAACGTGAAATAATTAAAATATTCAGAAAAGCAAAATTTTTAAATAAATTTGTTACTCTTGTTTTATTGGAAGACGAGGTATTTTATTTAAAAAAATGTAAAATTTAATTTTAATTTTTAGAAAGAATTTAATATGAATCATTTTTCTTTGTTTTATGTGAGTTTTAATGTTTTGAATTTTGGTTACTTCGGAAAGTCTTTTCACTATGATGTTTTATGATTTTTCGGAAAATAATACATACAAAATAAATCACAATTTTAACGTTTTTATTTTTTTGTTTTCAGCGGATTTTCCGGACTTTTAATGATACTTTGTTAGACGATTTTATTGATATTTTGGATCCTTTACTTATAGATGAAAAGGTATAAAATATTGTAATTGTTTTTAATGTAATATTTCTTTAACTTTTGAAGGTGAGTTGTCAACGTTTAGCAGCGGAGTTAATTGCTGGAATTATTGTTGGCTCAAAACTATGGAAGTTTGAAAAAAGAGAAAAATTGTTAAATTGTTTAAAAGATAAATTGGAGGAAGTTTTATTGAAAGTACCTCAGGAAAATGAACAATATTGGGGAACTTGTATTGGAATTATTGTTTGTTTTTTATTTTTATGATATTATAGTACATATTTCTTCCGGAAATTGTTTAATTTTGAATTGATTTTTTCGGGAAACGCTTTTCCGAAAAATATTTTAATTAAATTCTGATTTTTCCGGGAACATTTGAAAAATTTTAAGTTTGGGTCAATAATTTTGTTTTAATAATTCATATTTTTTATATAATTTATAAAATTTTTCAGTGTCGTTCGTGTGAACCACGCCAAGTTGGCTGGCTTCTTGATTTACTTTTCAAGTTACTTAAATCTACAACAACTATTAGTAGTAAAATTAAAACGTGAGGAATTCTCTTTTTATTTTTAAAAGAAATTTTTTAGAAGAATTTATCTTCTTCATTCTGCCTTATACGAATTTGAATGGCGCGTTCCTTATGAATGGAAACGTTTACATGATCATTGCCTTAAATTAACTAATAATCGATTCCAAAATGTCCGTCACAGTGTTGGAAGGTTAAAAAATTTTTTTAAATTAGATCCTCTTATTAGAAAAGGAAGAAAGAGAAGCTTCCTTTATTAAAATTATTTTCGTGCCCTTCACATAATGTCTCGAAAATATATTAATTAGAAAAAGTTTTTATAGTTGTCTGGCTACCTCTGCTATTTTTCATAATAAAGATGCGTATTATTATCCAGAAATTGATCAGAAATTTAAATATTTAAAAATTAGTGGAATTATTGATGAGATTAATACGAAGATTGAGCCTTTATGGAATGAAGCATTAAATTCTAATCAACCACAAAATAATAATGTTTATTTGATAAGACATTCTTCAAATGAATTTAAAGAAGAAAAGCTTCATTTATTAACATTAATTTCGTGCCTTTCTTCTCATCAATCAATGACAGGAAAATATTTGGATACTTCTTCAATTAAGCTTTTACCGTTGTTGATGCATTACTCTAATGACAGAACGTGAGTTTTTACAGAAAAAACATTTTAGGTTTGATTGTGTAAAATCATTAATATTTTCATAAGACAGGAATTCTCTATACAAAAATCGTGAATTCGCATTTTTCGTTAATTTGGCAAGATCGTTAGTAGAGATTAGGATCTTTAAAGGGTACTCGGATATTTATGTTGATTAAGCTCTTACCTTTAGTTACACATTACGCTAGTGACTTTTCCTCTTTGATATGTACATCTTGTTCCAAAAAAGTTACTATTATCTTAATCTTTTTTGGATTTCAATATAAACTTTTTTTTTTAATTTTAGCAATGAAGAACTCAGAATTTGTTGTATTACGTTTGTTATGCAAGATATCGGTTTATCTTTTATTTCCAATGATCAAATAGATGTGCTATTTGAAGTTTGTCAAACTATTCAAGAGCAAGGCACTTGGAAGTCCAAAATCACGTTATTTTTTAATTAATCTTTTTCCTTAAATTTTATAAATTTTCAGGCTTCTAAGATTTTTACAAGTATTTGTGTTTACAAATCTTTTTATTTTACGCGCTAAAAATGAAACTCTTGATCTCATACGATCGTTACTTCTCGATCTTTTGGTTGATGATCGTTTTGAAGTACGTGAAGCGTGTGCTGAAACACTAAGTGGATTGAGTAAGGAATTTTTTAAATTCTCGACTAAAATTTAAAAATATTTTTTAGTTCGAGCTGGAATTCTTTCTGTAGATGAACAACTTCTCGAAAGCACGGAAACGCTCTCGTCTTCACAACAATCTATTGAAAGACATAGCGGGGTATTGGCTATGGCTTCTATTGTTATGGCTTTTCCGTACTCTGTCCCATCCGTTTTGCCAAAACTGTTGATGGATTTGTGTAATCATGCAACAGAGCCACAGCCCATTTATGCCAGTGTTAAATGGGCAATATCTGAATTTAAGGTATCATTTTATTAAAGGGGTTAAAAGTCCTTTAAATTTAATTTTTAATTTTTTTCCTTCTGAAATTGCATCGATTTGTTTTATCTAAGTTTTGGTTTTTCCAAAAGTAATTACTCTGATTTTCTGACAAATGTTTTATTCAAATGCGGGTCTTTTGGAATTCTTGTTTTAATTCCAGCAAATTTACTTCGATTTGGTTTTCTGAAAAACGTCTAAAAAATTTAGTTTTTTTTCAATAATTTCTGTTGTTGTTGTTATGTAATGGTTAGTGTTGTGGGTTTTTTAGTGTGATCTTTTTTAATGATTTTTGAATTTTTTAGTAGTTATCGAATTGTGTTTTGATAATTTTTGTTTGATATGTGTGTGTGTTTTGTATTTTTTGTTTGATATGTTATATTTAATTTCAGCAAATCTACTTCAATTTCAGTTTGTGAGCACTGGCTTGGCTTCATCCTTGACATTTTAACAGTTTCATATAAATATTTTTTTTTAATTTCAGCGGACGCATCAAGATGAATGGAATAAGCATAAACAAGAATTTACAGAGGAGCAGCTACAAGTATTAAACAAAATTTTAACCTCATCATATTGTTATATTTGAAAATATTATTTTTCGTTTTTATGATTGTATTGTGACAAATATGCTCAACTTTTTTGTTTAAAAAATACATCTCATTGTTTTACCATTTTAATACATATATTTTCATGCTTTATTTATATTTTTTGGTTGCTCAACAATTTTTGTTATTATTTATATTAAATATTGAAGGATAAAATTTTTTTATATAAATCTTAAACTGGCTAAAATTCATCTTTTAGGAAAGCAGTCTTTTGTTCCTCAAACCTGATTTGGCATCAGTGTTTTGGTTATTCCATGCCAATTTTGCCGTAATTCTCTAATTTTAATATTTGTTAAATGTTAGGCTGAATCTAGTCAAGGCTGCCCCTTTATAAAGTCTATTAAGTAAAAACTTTGAGTTTGTTTATTATTAGAAAATACCATAAAGCACTCAGTAATTCTGGGGGTTTATACCAACCCCAGCCACTCTTTTTTCTGACCATTTTTCAATTTTTTCCTTCGTTTTTCCCTTATTTTTCATTAGGCAAGATAAGAAAGGATTATGTATGTAATATGCATCATGGGCCACTACAAACTCCAAAAACGCAACGCAAGTTCAAAAATCAACGCAAAACACAAGAGCGCAAAAATGGGAGAAAATTTTTATCAAATATGTATTAGCCATTTTCCAATTAAAAATTAAAGTGTCACTAATGTCAGCGAGTCCTACTTGATTTTGTTATATATAAAAAGGTTTGGATGGATGATGATTTGGAGTAATATAGGGGATACAAGGGGATTATGAAGTATATACGATGAAGTATATATAAGACTATTTTACAAGATCAAGAGATATAGTGGGAGTTGGTGGGAATAAGAGTGATATCGCAGATTTGGGATGTCGGTAATTCCAAGGCTGGTCCCCCCCCTTTTCTGTTCGGCCTGACCATTTTGAGCTTTTTTGCTTGACATATAATTTACAATATATCATTCGAAAGAGCTGTTCGAGCTGAGTAGAATGATACTATGATTGGTTAGATTTGGAGATTCTGAGCAGAATTATGAAGCTAAATCCTCGATGGACATGCCTTTTGTTATGTTGAAAGGGATTAAAACAAATGGTCATAACTATGTTTATTTAAGTCGGATTTCGATGAATTTAGTACCGTTCGACTCAACTTGAAGAGCTCTTTCGAACGATATATAATTTGCCTTAAAAAGTTTAAAAAATTGATAAAAATAGAAAGGAAAAATAGGGGGGGCCAGCCTTGGAATTACCGGGATGTCTAAGTGGGATATCGGTAAACTTACTGAGTAAGAAGGATATCAAGCAGATTTGAGATGAAGATTTATTTAAAAATAAAATACCAATTTATTTTTAGATGTTTTAAATAAATACTTATATACATTTTAATGAATATAAAGTTTTGGGTTTTTTCAGTTAAATCTTTCTTGATACCTAATAAATAAATTTTCAATGTTTTCTTTGCCGCCTGAAGCTCAACTTGATATATTAAAATGTTTTAATTTCAAACAATTATTCTCTGTTAAACAAACCAATTATTACCTTCTTAATTTAATTAATAGATATGGAATAAGATTGGCACGAAAGAAATTTGCCTATATCACATTAGTAAATATTTATTAAATAACCTTTTTTATTTAAATTTATTCAAGATTAACCATCACAAAACTTTTGGAGTTTATCATGGATATAAATACATTGCATCTGAGTCTGGAGTTTTTTAATTTATTTTGAATGATCAGCTTAAAAAGAAGGTTAAGTTGATTTTTGATTTAAGTATATTTATTTTTTAGTGAAAGACAGCGATATCTGAATCAATTCCGTTATTTGATTATGGCAAAAAATTATTAATTTGTATAGGGACCAGTGCTGCTGGGTATTTGCCATTTGTTGGCTCCGGGGTTTCAAAATCTTGGCTCCGGCTTCGGGCTCCGGCCTTTTAAAATCTTGGCTCCGGCTCTGGAGCCGGCAATTTTCGGAGCCGCTCCATGTTGGCTCCGGGCTCCGGGTGGAAAATCAATAAATTATTTTTCATTGGCGGATTTGGGTAGATAAAGTGGGATATCGAGTGATAAGAATTAGGAGAACATTAACTAAAGCATTTTAATATTCAACTATCCCATCCGATTCTGATTATGCAGATAGCCCAATGAGATTAAACAAATCAAAGCTTTTGTCAAATAATTTCAAAGCCTTGATCACCATTTAAAACAAACTATGAAGTTGAAATTTGATTGGTGGACTGAAAAAAACAAACTATTTGATCAAATAAATTGAATCTATTTGATCATTCACTACAAAAGATTTACACGAGAATCGAGTATCAAGGGGGATATTTGTGGAATTAAATGAATGGAGAAGGATTTAAATGATCAAGGAGGATATAAATGCTTGGAGTGTCGCTCCAGCCTTGGTAGGAGATCAGGGATTTATAGGGACTGGGAGCTGATGGAATTAGGAAAATTTGAAGGGAGCATAGAATAATATCATAGGATAGTAATTGTAAAATAAAACTTACTGCAGACGAAAATTTTGAAAGGCCAAGAATCCAGATTTCTTCCAAAAAAGGCAATTCTTAGGGGTTTATTTAGCCTCGATCATCGGTGAGGTTTATGATCGGGGATGAAAAATCAGCAAATATCTTGACCTCGTGCAACTCTAGTTTTAAGAAAACTTAAATACAGGACCCGGCAAATTGACTATATCGAACTCTTAGTCAATTGTTGTAAATTATATCCTACTTACCGCAAATTATTATGAATATTCTAAATTCATCTTCACATTTAGTTGACGAACAAACACATTATCTTTTACAATTGCCAAACATTCCAAAAAATATCGAATAAATGATTATTGTTCGTTGCTGGTTGGAAAGACTTTTTAAATGTGTTTTTTTGAATATGCTAATTTTTATGACTATAGTTTTAATCCAGAAATGATCAAAATACTATTCGATAACGACAATACATTTCCTCTTCAGCTTCACATTCAAGAATCACTACATTTTCCTAGCAATAAAATCTGTAAAAATAAGATGGACATTATTTTAGATCGTGCGGTTATTTTCAAAGTTCTTGTGATTGATTTTACAAAAATAAAATTTATAAAGCAACGTATTGATATTTTATTCAATATTTTAATAGATAAAGGTGATAAATTTCATCAAGTTCATTTTTTATTAAAATATGAATTACCTCGACTTTATGATCTTATTATTGAAGTAAGTTATCTTGGCTATATTTACGATTTTAATTTAGTAATTGTTTCTATATAAAGTAAATTTTAGTATATAGCAACATCTGAAGACATCAAAAATAGCGCATGTTATTTATTTGGAGCATGTTAATAAAACAAATTTCAAATAAAGTGAAAGAGCAGAAAAAGTTAAAAAATCAACTGATTTAAAATCTACCAGTTATCAAATTTCCAACATTTACAATCAAAAATATGAATTTAATTTTTATTCTGAAGAACCAGAAAAAAAACTTGTAATTATATTCTAAAAATAATAAAGGTGTCGAATCTCTAGTTGAACTTCTGGTGCAAGAAGAAAATACATCTTTATATGTATGAATACTTTTTGTCTGAAAATGAAAATTAGTAAATAAAATGTCAAAAGAAAAAATATTTTTAATTTGATGAAAAAAATTGATCTCAAAAATTGAACCAGAAGATGAAATTTATTATGGGAATCCTCTCAAATCGATGATGGATTTATTGAAAATTTATAGATTTTTATTTTATTTGTCATCAAAATTTTAGTTAAATAATCTTTCAGAATATTTTCCAAATCTCACTTTTAGGTCGAAATTTCAAAGAAATCTAAAATTTATTATGGGAATCCTCTCAAATCGATGATGGATTTATTGAAAATTTATAGATTTTTAGGAACTTATATACTTTAGGTACGCTTTTTTTAGAAATGCCTTTTTCTTTCCTTTTTCATCAATCAACCATAATTTTACGGAATGGTCAGCCTTTCTTTCTCCCTTTTTCCTTTTCCATCTTTATTCTTTTACTTTTTACTTCTCACGCGTCAATATTTCAGTTCATAGTTCTGAGTCGAATGCACCAAAATCAGTCCGTGATATCTCTGAGCTGATACCGGGGGCCAAACTTACCCAAAAAGTGGTGTAAAATACCGAACTTATTTCTCAAAACACAGACCCATGTACTTATTATCATTTTTAAAATTGAAGTAGATGAAAATAAGAATATTGATTCAAATGTTAATTTCAAATTTTGTGAAATTGGAAAGAAAAATTAATCTTCTCTCTGTTCATCTTTCTTATGAGAATGCCACAGGGAAAATTAAGTAAATTGAGGAAGAAATAAAGGTTATTGTTGATTGATGAAAAAGGAAAGAAAAAGGGCATTTCTTAAAAAAGCGTACCTAAAGTATATAAGTTCCGATTTTTATTTTATTTGTCA